TTTTTTTTTTTTTTTTTTTTTTCCATTTTAGTGATTTGTAAGCTGCTTGACCCAATGAAATCATGGAGAAGGGTGTTTCAGATTTCTGATTTTCTGCTTCTAAATTTGACTTATATTCCTGTATGAAGCTCTTTCTAACCTTTTCACCAAGCACCCTAACAAGAAAAAATAAATAAATAAATAAATAAAAATATGTTTCTTATTTGCAAAAGCACTACCAACTCATGATCATTCTTCTTCTGCTGTAATAAATCATTTCTTATGAACTACGGGTGATTTGGTTCATATCTATAGGTCCACAAACGAGGCAGCTTAGTTGGTAGAGCCATTGATCTTTCGAGATTACAGGGTTATAATGAGCTGCTAACTCATCTGGAAAGATTGTTTAACCTGGAGGGTCTCCTTCACGACCCCAAACATGGATGGCGTATACTATACACTGATAGTGATGATGAGATGATGGTAGTTGGTGATGATCCATGGTGGTAAGTTTCTGAACTGGCAGCAGATTAATTTTTAAATATCATTTTTACCTTTGCTTTCTGTGCTTACCAATTCTGGAAGTTTATGCTATTCATTCTCACTACCATTTCAAAAGGAAGAAAAAAAAAAAGTAAAAAGGAATAATTGTATGCGGTTTTGCTATGAAGCCATCGGATGACTCGGCTTATGGATGGCTCCATAAGAAAACAATTCCATGGCTCCATAGTATTTCTGAACTGTATGCTAATGATACCATGCGTAGATTTCGAAGTTTGAATTGGAAGTATCCCACGTGTCAAATTGCTTGTACACAAACATAAGTTTTGAATATGAGCGCCTAAATTGACTCTAATTTGCAGCGACTTTGTTGAGGTGGCCACAAAGATCCATGTATTGACGCAAGACGAAGTTGATAAAATGATGGTCGACTTAAATAGTGACGACACTCAAAGCTGTCTGGAGGAAGCCCAACATTTTAACTGAATGTGGCCGATATCACAATCTTTATCTGCTAATGTTGAATAAACTTGTGTTGCTGCCTGTTTGATGTGTTAGGGCCACTGTAAGGTTTATGTTTTTCCTTTTGCTCAAGACAGTGATTCTGTATTATTGCCTGCAGTCGGTTTCTTATAATTTTGGTTGATTGTTCTAATCAGTAGCATCTTAGCAAAAAAAGTCCACACTTGCATGTTGGGTTTTGGGTTTTGTGGAAGCTACCTCAGGAATGCTCTACGTATGGTGCCTCAAGGCTTAGTTTTGGGTCGTTAATATATAAACTTCAAAAAATAAATGTGAAGATAATATTAGTGATGTTTGAAAATGTTTGTAAATTTTGGTTGACAGACCTTCCGAATATTTTTTATTTTCCTGAATTTGCTCGAGCTAGAACTCAAATATTCAACAAACCAGCCTACGGATGGATGTTAAGATTAAGATCGATCAGTGGAAGAAGAGGAATGTTGGAGGATGGTGAAAATGAGAAGGGAGAAAGTTGGAATCTAATGTCTGATAATACAAAAATGTTGTTGTAAACTGAGAAAGTTTCATGTCCAGCTGAGATACAATTTTGCAGCAGTGCTTTCAGAGAATGTTTGTATTGCATTGCATAAATCATCAAAGTATGAACCTTTTTGTTGCAGATTTTACAGGCAAGTGCACAGAACATATAAACAACATACTCTTCATATAGAGGCCGGCCTCAACTGTGCAGGGTGAGATCAAGTGGAGGCTTCACACGACCAAGCACCTTCCGAATTTTGTCCTCACTGTTCTTTATACAGCTCACGACCAATGATCATTCTCCTAATTTCACTGGTTCCCGCCCCAATTTCGTACACTTTGGCATCCCGAAGAAGACGGCCTGTTGGGTATTCGTTCACATAGCCATTGCCACCCAGACACTGAATAGCCTGAAACACGACCATAATTTTTAAAGTAGGTGTCCCGGTTTTTTCAGTTACAAATTTTAATAGCAAAATCGTGATCCTTCCCATTTCCACATGTGCTCTTAATCATTCACGATAGTTCAAAGGATAGAATAGTCATGTCCTTCCTCAGAACTGTCTGAAGTCTAAACTGCCCTTGAAATTTAGCACATTTATCAAATAAAGAGACACAGTTACCTTTCAATTTTGGAAAATTGATGCAATTTTGGAAGCTAGCAGTTTTATTTTCCTTTTCCCAATATAGACTGAACATCACAATTTTTGTAAAGACCCCTTCGAAATTAATTTTTAAATCAAAGCTAGTTTCTGTAACTGCCCCTTAAGAAATAAATTAGAGCTTGATGCAGTCCCCACACATGAAGCACATATCAAATCTAGAAGTAGCCGCTGCTCACTCAATTGAGGATCCTAAAATGAATTGGTTAAAGGAGTTGTTCACGGTATCTCTCGTCTAAACTGATAAATAGATAGCATAGGCCTAAGTCCTAAGTGATATCTTTCAGAAAAGGAAGCTGGCTCTCTACCTGAAGAGCAACTTGTGTGGCTCTTTCAGCTGCGCAGAGTATCACGCCAGCACAGTCCTACACAACAGCGTAAGTTCTTCAACACTCGCAAAAATAAATATTTGAACTTGCAAAAACCTGTGCCAGGAAAGACAACATATGTTATCGTGTGTACCTTTGGATTAATCAGTCCGCTATCACAATCCCTGGCAACCGAATAGACATATGACCTGGAACGAAATGAAAACTTCCGTAAGTATTCCAACAAGTAAATTAAAATATCAGTCATGACATTAGCCGTAACTTCCACCTTGAAGACTGTAATGAAGTATACATATCAGCAACCTTCCCCTACAATTGGTCAATATATAAATTTCAGCAAAGCAGAAAATGTGAAGTAGAAGGAGTAATACATTGCCTAATTTATAAGGTGGTTCCAACCTGTATAAATTGAAATTCTCCAATTGGTTTTCCAAACTGTTCTCGCTGTTTAACATAGGGAAGAACAACATCGAGGCATGCCTGCATGATTCCAAGAGGTCCTGCTGCCAGGACAAGCCTCTCCAGATCTAATCCCGACATCATTACATAAACACCTGTTGCAATTGTTTTTTCCCATAATTTAGCCAGAGGTCTTTTGAACTTGTATACAACTCAATGGAGAATTCTCTTGTCCTAAAAATTCTTGTATCTATGGACTTCTACGTGTGTATCAGAAATATTTGACAAAGATTAATCCTGCCAACCTCCTGACCCCATTTTCCACTAATATAAGAAAATAAAGCTTTAACAAAGGCAGATAATCGAGAAACAAAAATACATATGCGCCTAAAAAATAGATAGAAAGTACTGTTTCTACAAGAAATTTATCATGTTTTCGTGAAAGCAAATGAAACCATTTCAAGTCTTACGATTACCATCATTGCTTTGTTTTTTCCTATATTTGTGTTTCATTCTTCTGGAACAAGAAACAGAACATGGTTGGTCTAATCTGGACAATAGAAAGAGCATAACAACAAATATGGAGAATTTAATTTTCCTGAATGGTGTTAGGATGCCTGGTCTTAGACCAGAAGCTCGAATGAGATGTTGATTTATATTGACAACATAAATATCTAAGAATCGGAAGCAAGTGAACCAGAGGATGAACTTCACATCCGTATAAGTATTGAACTTAATACCTTTCCCTTCCTCGCCCAGAATATTTTCCTCCGGAACAAAACAGTTCTCAAACACAAGCTCACATCTGGATTTATTTTTGGTGCATGCTATAAGGATTCAGATTCAGGCCATTCCTTGCTGATAGAAAAAGGACACAAATTCAAAGCAGTAAATAACTGCCCAAGCAAAATCATGCTTACGTGTCACTTCCACGCATCCCCAATTTGTCTAGCTTCTGGGCGGTACTAAATCTGCAATTAAACGATTGCAAAAGGAATTTTAGGCATACAGCAAAAGATATATAAAAAAAAAAGGCTCGCAGAGTAGCTTCACAGTGATTTTGAATTCCTATACTATACATCATTGTATTTATCTTTCCTTTGCCAAAGCTGCTGAAAAATGATGATTCCAAAAACTGTACATGAACAAGATACAATACTAATTTGACCACAGGCACAAAAAAGAAAACTGTATCCAAATGTATTGGCACTTTGTGATTCTCATTCATTGTTATTTGCAAGATCTAAAAGTGGCAAATGTATATGTAGCAAAATATTTTGAGATTATACCACTAGCCATGCCATCTGATACAATCCCGAGTTTGTAGCCGACTTATGGAATATATGGTTTAAAGTTTAAGCTTAACTTATCACATAGGAAAGAGAACATTTAAAGAACTTTACAACCAGAAAAAGATGAATACCCTGGCAGATCCTTCTCTATGATAAATGCAGTTATTCCTTTCGAGCGAGATGCCATATCAGTTTTTGCATAGACAACCTGATCCAATCTAAAATAATTAGCACATCATACATCCTGACCGTATTTTCTGATGCTAATTCTGAAGGTCCAAAACAGTTAAGAGAGAAGGCATGGTAAGGATTTTCCAATTAGAACCAACTATTTGAGACCCCACCCAAAGCGAATAGCCGATGCTTGTATATGGTTTGATCAATTTGTATTACGCTTGGGTAAAAAAGTCATCATGAAATCAGCAAATAGGAATTGAAATTAACACTTGGGAGAAATTTAAAAAAAAAAAAAATGCATGAATTATGATCCCAAGAATGCTTCTCTTTACAAGAAAGAAAAGAAGATATGGTTTCTGCATGCCGAAATTGCTAAAACATTGTTAGCCATGTTACAATAAGAAGCACACAATTTCATTAGAATTTAATATATCAAGAAATAAATAGAACTGGAGAAAAAAAAAAAAAAAAAATAGATGAGAGTATTCTTCTACAGCATATACTGGACCCTTTTGCATTCTTCCATTTTATAGTGTTTGTTTCCAATGAGAACCAATCATGCTGTAGGAACTTAGCACCATGAGATGCAATATATGATGCCTTTATCAGTCATATACAATGAGAATCAATGGAGTAGAAATAATATCATCGGGTTACTGGAACTGTTATTCTACTATTACTATGCAAAATTTGCATTGTACATGACCGATAAATCTCATATGATGTATTTTAGCATAATGCTTATTTAACACCAGGGCTTAGTTCCAATTTTGTACATTACCTGTGTTTATACATTCAATTTGCTACGATTACCTACACCTCAAAATGAGAAATTACAAAAAGTATCCTCGAGGTACAAACAGATCCAGTAATATTGCAAATTTCCAAGTATCATCACATTTGCTCGTGTAAAAAACTACAATATCTGGATCAGTTAAAAACAGACACAACTCTCAAAGGAGTGAGTAATCCAGCAACTGTCCGACCTTATAATTTTCAAGGACAGTTGGGATGTTTGTAGATAGGCAAAAGTCTCAGAGTAATTTTGCATCTGACTTCTCATAAATCATAATCATGTCAATATGAAGGACAGGAGATGAATGCAAGGCATCCATGTCAACAAAAGCAAAACATCCTGGTTAATAATCATGTCACTAGTGGTTCACTAAGGTTACCAAGTAAATGCTAAGTATAATATAGACCGAATAAATATATACTAAAGTCGCTAAGTTTATATATGGACGTCTTGATAAGTAAATCATCATTCATCCAAAATCCCAAGGTTCGTAACATGGTATCACAGCCACCCAAATAAATTATTTTTTTCCGATCTCACCTCCCACACCATTCAACTCGCCAAGTTTCACCGTCGGAATCCGTGCGTGTAAGCCACACGCACTGCTGGAAGTGTCTGCAGGCCATCCCATGCACCGGCGTGCTAAGGCACGTGGCTCGCCGGAATTTTTTCAGGCAAACGTATGTGGGCTCTGAATTGTGAGGCCTTGCTGCCAGAGTTTCCAGTTTTGTGATTCGGGAGGTTTAGATGTCTGTTTTTCCTTTTTCAGATCCGCACTTGTCGAGTTTAGGGTCCGTGTACTCTAATCCATCTCGGCACTCTTCAGATACTTTATTGAAGTCACTCGTCTGTCATGTGGTACTTCGCTAGTCATCGCAGCACCTTCATTCATATTTCATTGCGGCTCGTCTCTACCTGTTTGATATGTTGTTGTTCAAGTACCGTCCCTTATCGAGAAGGCATACCTATTGTAACACGTCGTCCAATCATGTTGCAACTTCATGCAATTGCTATCAATATCACCCTTGATGTTGTTGTTCTCATACCGTCCACATATAGCGAAGGCATACCTATTGTCATACGTCGTCGAATCATGTTGCAACTTCATGCAATTGCTATCAATATCACTCTTTAATGGTGAGAATAATCGGGAGTGGGCTTTTTCGCTGGCTGAGACCTAACGGAAGGCCGATAATAGTAATGTTTCTGACATCAGGGTATGGAAAAGGAAAATTAATGATGGGAAAGTGATGGCTGTCATTGTCACCACTATCAAGCAATCCATGATGATTACGAGTCCTTCTTCTTTACGGACAAACCAAGGAATGTGGTCCTATTTGCACACACTTACGTAACAAATTCACGTGATTAAACAAAATGGCATGTCCATTGATGAGTACTACTCGGCTTTTGATTGTTTGATAGGACCATTGATCTCCATGGCACCTCAATGCTCGAGAGGAGTGTTAAGTAAATAAATTTGTTGAGAAGTTCTTTATTTATCACTTTTTCATGGGAGTCCAAGCAAAATTTGAGTCCACTTGTACACAGTTGCTTCATAACTCTTCTAGGCACAAGCATTATCTAATTTGATTTGATTGCTGAAGAAACTCATCTCCATATTTTGTCAATTGCTCTTCTATCAGTATCACATAGTGCCCTGACACATAGTGCCCTGACAGCTCGAATATCTTATCAACGGCTTAGTGCACCTAAAGGTGGAGAAGCTTTAGTGCACCTAGAGGTGGAGAGGCTTAGTGCACCTGGAGGTGGCTCTACAGAATCTTGTAGGCATTGTTGGAATGAAGATCATAGTGCTGAGAACTGTTCTACTAAGCATCCAGAAAAGATGGTTGAGTATCATTCCCGTCGTGCTGCTCGGGCTCGTAATACGAGTTCTGCTACAAAGGGATTCGTATCTGCAGCCACACCACCTCTCATGTTAATGCCCTTGGATCCTCGATTTAGGGGCATCTTTTCATATGAAATCTGATCAGTCCTCATGATTGCTTGCAAGCTATGAAGCACGGACACTCCTCCAGGACTGTCGTACTGGTGTCGGTGCAGTGTCGGACACGGACACGCACGGACACGGCAATTTTATATGGACACGGCGGGATACGGCGAAGGCACTCCGGGATACGGCGAAGACACTCCGGGGACACGCCAACTCTTCATTGCCCTTAATTTTTTATTTTTTTTTATTTTTTTGGGGATAACAATCTTATTTATTGGTTATTTAATAGACTTTTAAACTTCTCTGACTCAATTAATAATTACTTGAGATGCTTTTCTATTAACTTCACTTAACTCACACTACTCACAAGAAAAAGAACGTTCAGTCTTTTACTCTTCTTTTCTCTCTAAAGTCTAAACCAAGCTGCAAGCCTTCTTCAAGCCTTCTTCTGTTCTTCAATTTGATACAATCATTCAAGCTTTTTTACGTTTCTTTTGATTATCATTTATTTGCTTAGTACTTTGTTTTTTAACTTATGTTTACATTGGTTTTCAATATATTTATGAGACTTGGTATTATTTTAATGTTGAACTCTATTTTTATATGATTAATCTACTTCTATTTGAATAGAAAGTACTAATATTTACAATTAAAATGAAATTTTTACATATAAAAAATAAAAAAAAATTATTTTTTATTGCCGTATCCCGCCGTACCCGTATCCTAGTTTTTTAGAAAATTGACGTATCTATGTCCCGCCGTACCCGTGTCGCCGTACCCGTGTCCGTGTCTGTGCTTCTTAGCTTGCAAGGCAATCCCTTATGGTTTCTTGCAAGGGGATCACTGATGATACTTTATTCGGACTGATGATACTTTATTCGGACAGTTGGTGGGTACTTATGACAGTTCTCTATGCAATTCACTTTTTTAATTGTCTAATATCTCTTTTGTTCTATCCATGAATCTTCTTTAAGTTGGTTAGGTCACTAATCATCAAAAATCAAAATTAGTTTCTTGGATTTGATAACTCATCTTGTTTTATTCTCGTCGAAGCAGGAATGTGTTTAGGACTGGCAATCACCGTAGAGGTTCTCTAATTTTCTACATTTTAGACACTTTGCACCTTCTCTCTTTCGCAGGTTCTATCACTCGTTTGTCCTTTGTTACTTCATCTTCTACCTCATCCTTCGTCAAGTGCACTCTTGGTCATCTGTGTGGGTCTTGTTTATCTACTTCGATTAGTAATAGTTGTTCATATCGTACATCTATCGAGTATAGTTTTCATTGTAAGGGTTGCAAGCTCGATAAACATAGTAACTCCCATATTCTAATAGCATTTCTCATTCCTAGGACCCTTTGATCTCATTCTGATGTATGGGGTCCTTTCCCTTTTCCTACAAAATGTGGTAATAAATATTATGTAATTTTTATTGATGACCATTCTAGATATATACATGCTATGTTTTGCTTGCTCCATGTGAGCGCACTAAAGTGACTGCTCAAAAGGTTGAGTGTGTCTTTTCAGGGTATAATCCTGAGCATAAGGTTTTTTGTTTTTATGATTCTTTTGCCCGTCGCATTTGTATATCTCGTGATGTAACTTCTGTTGACGACCGCCCTTTCATTTATAACTCATCTTCTTCTACAGAGTTGCGTCCTTCTTATGTCTTCCTCTTATTTCCTCTATTTCCTCTATTTATGATATCCTCGTCTCTTCTTCATCTTCCTTAGTCCCAACCACTCATGATGCGCCTACATCACCTATTTCTGATAAGCTGCCACCACATATACAACTCATCACACAAACCTATACTCGTCGTTCGTTGTCCCAAAGGTCACACAACGCTTCCGCCTCATTCTCCTACCCTGGATAGTCCTAATGCCCCATTCTTCTTGCTTCCATCATTGATTCTAATGAATCACATGTCACTCCTTGGAGTCAGGTTGGTTAGATATATAATTCATGTGATCGTGCTTCTATAAGGCCTCCTGATAGGTTGCGTTTGAGTTTTCCACGTGCGGGTGCTATTATTGATGAGCCATCAACCTATTAGACATCTTCGAGTATTATGAGTGGCAGGTCGCTATGTGAGAAAACCTTGCTGGTTGCTGCACTTAATCTATTGGCATTTGAATCTTGTTATGTTACCATCACATGTCGTACCTATAGTCCCATTGAGAGGTATAAAGATCATCTTGTTGCTGTTGCTAGAGGCTTTCATGAACAAGATTATGATGAGACTTTCGCTCTTGTTAATCACATGAGTATTGTCCGTACTCTCGTACTCTAACTGAAGTGGCTGCTACTCGTTGTTCCTAGACCCAGAGAAGAATATTTTGTTTCATGGTGAAGTTTATATGACCACCGGATGTTTATGCGCCCTGCAGACATGTTTGTTTCGTCACACTTTATATGGTTTCAAACATGCTCCACATGCTTGGTTTGAGCGTTTTGTCTCTAACATACAGTCGAAGTGCTAGTTTTTGCTCTAGTGATTATTATCATGTTTATTCATCTCTCCACGTGAACGTACTCAACTTTTTCGATATGTTGCAGAACATATTTCTCACGTCAAGAAACAATTGGTAGTAATTTTAGATGTTCGATTTGGATCTTCTTAGCTACTTTTTGGGCATTGAGGTGATGCACATTGCCTCGGGCCAAATACATACAAGACTTTCTTATTCGTTTAGGTATTACTGATAATCAGACAGCTACTATGGATAGAAGTGGCCACGATTCGAACCAGCCCTCAATCGGCCCGGTCATAAACGTTGACTGCGGGCATTGAACCGAACCGAGGAACCGGAAACAGAACCAGAACCGACGGCTTGACGCCAAATATTAATTTAATTTTTTTTTTAAAATTTTTTCACATTTTATTATTTTAGTTTTTTATTTTTATTTTAATTTCTCAAACCACTTGAACTGTTAGGCTGGTTCTGAACCAGTACCGCCGGTTAATTAAACTAGCCCCTAGACTTTCCAAGACCGATTTCAATTCAACAAAACAACGAACCTGAACCGGCGATTCTTAACCGAAACCGGGTTTTGGCCACGTCTACCTATGGATCACTTACAACTTCTTCCACTGATGGTACACCTCTTGAGGATCCCTCTCGCTATGGACACATTGTGGGCACTAGCAGTCTGGTTTACCTTAATTCATCATAAATGGCATTGCTCTTGTTGTCTGTAGTGCTTTACTTCGGTTCATTGTGGGAATTTGCTTCGTGTGCCATGGTACTTAAGGGAAACATCATCTCAATATTTGTTATATGCTCGTGATAGTCCGCTTCAGCTAAGCTACATGCTTACTGGGACTCTACTTTGACGAGGAATCTGTTCTTGCATTTTTCACGGTTCCTCTCCTCTTGCAAGGAAGTCTTGGCAGTTGTATCTCGGTTTACCACAGAGGTAAAACTTCGAGCACTTGGTATTACCACTTCATAAATTATATGGTTTTCATGGTTATTAGCCGACTTTGGTACTCCATGTCATGCTCCTACACCTCTTTTTTGTTATAATACTGGAGCTATCCAAATTACCAATAATCCAACATGAAGTTACAAAACACATTAGTATTAGTGTTGATGCTTCCTTTACCCGGTCCCAACAATTGTCGTCAGAAAACAATTGTTCTTCAGTATGTCGTATCGTCAGAACCACTACAAGTGGCTGATTTTTTCACCGACGCAAAAGTACAAACTATAGAGCAACATCGACTTCACTTGCTCAAACGCAGTGCTTCGGATCCTCCACCTCACCTCCACCTCGAGTTTGAAGAGGGGTGTTACCTATATTATAGGCGCAACCCATATACACTAAAGTCCCTTAGTCTTTAGTCTATAGTATGGGCATGTTCATAAGTGAAATCATCATTCATTCAATAAAACTAAGGTTCCTAACAGTAAATACCCACAATATCACAATATCAGTAGACAAAGGGAAAAGAATCGAAGTAATCTCAGCTACATCCTGTTGTCTTTTGTGTACCGTGGTAAGAGTAAGATAGTAAATAACTTTGTGAGGCAAGGTCTCATAACTAACTGAAATTTTTACACAAAATTTATTCCATTTCCCGCAGTCAAAATGCATACATTCATTTTAACTTCACTCACATATCTTCATGCAATGATATACTCAATTTCATTTGACAAATTTTAATATCCTTTCTTTAGATATAAAAACGTCAGATTTAAAAAAAAAAAAAAGAATAATAATTTCCTCTAAATATGCAAGAATAGGTTAAAAACAGTCATGCACCAGAATCAAATAAAATTATCTTTACAATTATTCATTCCAGAATGACCACTATCTTTTTAAAATACCCTTTCTAATATACAAGGTACTTCAATGGGAAAACATATATAAAAGCTAAATTGAAACAATAAAACAAATAAGGGTTTTATTTCTCAGTACCAGTGTATGGGCAACAGGACCATTTGTACACCACATTTTGTTCCCATTTAGAATATAACCACCATCAGCACGATCAGCTCTGCACTTCATGCTAACAACATCCGAGCCAGCTAAGTAAATCAAACAAAGTAATTCGAGCCATAAGAAACAGAACTAACCACCAAACTGTTCTTGTATGCATCAACAAGAAGATAGTTTAAGAATTACCATTAGGTTCACTCATTGCAAGAGCTCCTATATGCTCCCCACTTATAAGCTTCATTAGAAAGAAAACAATTGAGTCAGAAATTAGCACATATTTTTTAGTAGGCTCAAATCTTGGTAACTGTATAACTATCAGTATGGGGCCTATTACACGTCATCATTAGACTAATTCATTTATCCATCTTCCATGAGTTGAAAATAGAAATTAAACTGCATTTCAATGAATTACGCCCTTTGAAACTACCAGACACCTCATCTCTTCTCAATCTAAACAATGCAGACTACTGATATTAATTTTGATGTAAACAAGAGGACATCGAGATGTGAAGTAAAACCTTTGGCAAGAACTTTTGCTTCTGAGCTGGAGTTCCATTCCTCACCTTCAACTCAGTGAAGTTACAAAGTTAAGAGGCATAAACTTAGGTAAAAAATAGGTCAAACATAAGGAGAAGTTTTACCAATTGATTAATGCATAGGTTAGAATGTGCACCATATGACAGACCAACTGACCCTGAAGCACGGCTGATTTCTTCCATTGCAATGCAATGGTATAAATAACCAAGGCCAAGTCCTCCATATTCCTCTGTATGTACAATTGAAGTTAGGCATTTTGTAATTAAAAGAATGAACATTCAAAAACCAAAAAGTTGAATGTTTCAGCTAGACAAGAAAAGTTCACTTAGAACAAGCTCGCTGGATAAGAAAGCTGAGCGGTAAGAATCCTATCTGACAATGATAATTGTCCACCTCAAATCTTTTATACTCCTAAGTCCTAACTGATCTCCTAATTACATTTGACGAACAAGCTACTCACTTGTTGAAACCAGAAAGTAAACCAATACTATATCCCGCTGGATAGTGAAACAAACAACAAACGAACCAGCTACTGATTAGCTTCCTTCTGATAACAATTAATATGCACAACAAGAAAAAATTACTGAACATAACAGAGTTTGTTAAATATTTGGAAAAGAAAAAAAAAATAGATTTACTAATGGAATAAGATGAACTCCAAATATGTCCTTTGTCACTTTAGATCCTTGATAGATAAATGGGTAAGATAGTTCTTGTATTAAAGGTCATACCTGGGGCAGTGATGCCATGGAGATTGAAATCCCCCATCAATTTCCACAAATTAACTTCCTGAAAGTACACGTGCCTAAGTCATTATTCAATGATTAGCAAGGCATATAGAATATAATATAAGTGAGCAAATTATGTTACCTCTGGGAAATAGTTTGATTTGTCTATTTTCGAGGCATGAGGGGCAATATTTTCTTGAGCAAACTGAGCTACACTTTCTTTGAACTGTTAATAACACGATCAAAAAGGTTTACTAAACAGTGGGTAACTTAGTAAAAAAAAATGTACAGCTAGGTGCATAACTGTCTACAAACCATAATTAGAATAATTGATCCTAATAAGTTGTTTCAAATAAAATTTTTGGGACCTTCTTTTTATAAGAACAGTAGCTATTCATTTCGCTTTGAACTTATTTCAGAGAGCAATCTTCAACCGTAGTACTTACCAACACATGCTCAACGAACACACCAAAACAAGCAATCAAAACCCTTTTTACCGTTGTTATTAACAGCCATAGGCCAATTATGTGAGAAATTTGAATAAATTAAGAGAATCCAGCCATCTATCATTTCCACAGAGCAGAAATCAATCGTCTAAACAATGAAATCACTATCATTCAGGAAATAGAACAAAATCAAACCGAGTACTTATGAACACGTGCTTAACTAACACACCAAAACAAACAATTGAAACCCTTTTACTCGTCTTTATTAACAGCCATAGCCCAGTTATGAGAGAAATTTTAACAAATTAACAGCATCTAGTCATCTGTCATTTCCACGTAGCAGAAATCAATAATCTAAACAATGTTATCACTATCATTCAGAAAATAGAACAAAAACAAACCACAATCAAGAATTATTTTGGTTTGTGCAAGCAACAATCTCCGCAAGCTTCAACTCAATCCCAAAGTCCACCAAACAACCAAACATCAATAACTCAAACGAATGTGCGCATAAACATACACTCGCATGCACGAACACAATGAAAAAAAAA